CGCCCCTTGTAAAAGATCTATTCAGTGTGTTCCTGAAATGAAGGGAGTTTTCCTCTGCTTTTTATTTTTTCCCTGTCCCCTGTACAGCCTCTTCTTTTTTGTGTTTTCATCCTCCATCTCTGGCTTTCCTCAGCTTGAGAACAGTTTTTCATAACTAACTCTAGATTCTAGGTTGGAGGGGAGTTGACCTTACTCTTTTTCTCTTTGTCTTTCCAGTAGTGTAAAATGCTTCCTCAACCCTCATCTATCACAGTGCCATCCTAAGCAGACTTATACCCTTCTAAGTCGATTGAACACGGTGGGTTTAAAGGATTTAACTCTGTTTAGGATGGCACTGTAAAATGAAGCTCAGGAACAGGCTAAATTGATCAGACATTAGTTTTCCTCATTGAGGATGCCTCTCCCAAACACAGTCTATTTCATCAGCTTCAGTCATCTGTGTCAGGTGTTTTGAAGGTGTTGCCCTGTAAATGGCTAAGATCAGTGACTGTCCATGCCAGAGCATTCTCTGTTGTGTCCCCATCTGGTGCAAAAATCTGCCAGGCAAGGTCAGGTAGCCTCCCATACTTATATAATTTCATACAGTGTGTAAAATTAAACTTTGTAGCATGGCATTTTTATGATGGAGATATAGTTGTAAATTTTATTGTAGTGTTTGATATTTGATTGACATTTTAAATGGGTTTTATCATATCTATTGCTGTCTTTTAATTTTTGTAACCTCCAGGAGACTCTCTGACAATGGTGGATGATAAATAAAGTAAATCAATACATGATTTTACTCCTGCTGTCTAGACTGATTTTTATGTTGCTGCTTAACTTTACCTGTTGTTTGTTTTAGACTTGACATTTTTAGTATTTTTATATTTTATTTTATCATTTTTGGAAACCACTTTGGAAATGTTTTATGGAGTCTGGTATATGTGGATATATATTTTAAAGCAACAAACCTCACAGGTAAGGACCCTGTTAGCCATTCTAGAAAACCACTACTCAAGGTTGATGAATGAAGTTAGTTCCTTGCATAAAATTATTTGGTATTGTCTCCTAGTTAACCAATTATATGTATGTTTTCTCTCAACTAATCAATGGAATATCAAGAAGGGAAAAAACTCATACCTTGGCATGACATAATAGTTCCCCTAGTTCGAGAGGCGGGATCTGAAACATCTGAAACATCCATCCAGTCACAGCCGAGTAAACTGCAAAGTAAGTGAGGTTGCAATTCTTTGTTATTAACTTGTTCTAATAAAGGTAAAGGTTTCCCTTGCTCGAAAGCTAGTCAAATCCGACTCTTAGGGGGCGGTGCTCAGCTCCGTTTCCAAGCCGAAGAGCCAGCGCTGTCCGAAGATGTGGCTGACATGACATGGAATGCTGTTACCTTCCCACTGAAGCGGTACCTGCTTATCTACTTGCAATTTCTTGCTTTTGAACTGCTAGGTTGGCAGGAGCTGGGACCAGAGATGGGAGCTTACTCCATCACGCAGCAGTAGGGTCTCAAACTGCCAAACTAAAGACCTTCCAGTCTACAGCTCAGTGTCTTAACCTCTGAGCCACCGCAGCCCTCTACTTTGTTCTGATACATGCTCTGCTAGATTAAGATTATTAAACTCCTTGTGGGTTTTGTATTTAATTGATTTCTGTCTATTAATTTCTAAGATCTCGAATGACATTTAAATGTAACAAGCTGTTTGCTGTGTCCAAAATTTTATGTTGCAGGAAAAGACACGGAACTAGAATTAAGGAAGCACTTTATGCAGCAGGTGAAAAGAACATCTCTGCCATATGAATTAACTACACAAAAAAATCATTGTAAGTACATAATTAGTATAATGGGAGAATTTGGAATAAGCTTGTGCTCCTAATTTAGGCAGTGAATGAAGAAATAGTAAGTGTTCAGCAAGAATAAATTCAGGACAAGAACCTTGTAGGAGACTATAGTAATCTGAAGTGGGATGTCTGTATGCAGGGTCCTAAACAGATGAAGGGAATGGTCGAGAGAAATCCTCTATTGATAACTGGAAAAATGACCCTCTGTCTTCTTCCAAGACCCCATAACCACCCAGAGTATGGTTTTAGCATGAGCTTGAGCATATTTCATTTATGCTCTGTTAGCAGAAGGTGGTATGCAGATGATGGTCTGGGTGTACAGAGAAGTGGAAATCGTGTTAGCTAAGCAGGAAGAGAACAGACAGAGATCAGAATTCCCCCCACTGCAAATAAATGGTATTCAAGAATCCTGTGTGTGTATATACTTTTATTCAGCGTTACCTAAACGTTTCTGAACCGATTTAATTAATTAATTCATATCCTTCTACACTACAGCATTCCAGCTACAGGACTTCAAAGTGTAGAATGATATGAATTAATTCAGTAGGTTCAGCAACGTTCAGTTATCTTTGAATAAAATAACAGTTATTTAGGATCATAAGAGAACAGTGCATACATGTGCATTCAAATATGTGGCTAGTACTTTTAACTTCACTTCAGGCTTCCTGTTATTAAAGTTGACCATGTGAACCATGTGGTTGCACACACTGATAACAAGTTCAGCACAGGTCACTCACATACACCTATGGATGGCAGATCTAAGAGATTTATTTAAAATTGAAAAGTGAATTTGTTGAATTCATGAGTAATTGTTTTGTTTCAGTGTATAAAACAGTGCAAGAATTGCTAGATTCTAACAAGGGTCTGCTTCCAGCCTATAAAGCAAATCTTCCACAAGCACTTGCCCTTGCGCAGTCTCAGTTACAACAAGCTAACCTTATTGGTAAGTGATGAATTAATGATGTGTACAAAGATAACATTCAGATTCATTCTTAATGTTCTGCAAAACCAGCAGACCTTTATTGGTTCCCTGAATAGTTCATTTTAAAATCAAATCTTTCCATTGCTTTATATAATTTTGATAGTCAAATACATTGCATGGTCACTTATTTGCTTTGCATTATGAGTACATTTTTCAGTAGTGCCAGAATGATAGAAAACACAGTGAACTTTAGCATCTTTAGTGTCACGTCAACCTCTGAGGATGCCAGTCACAGTTACTGGCGAAACGTCAGGTTCTACAATGCCAAGACCACGGCCACACATCCTGGAAAATCTACACCAACTAATGAACTCTGGCCATGAAAGCCTTCGGCAACATATTTAGCATCTCTGTTAACAGGCGGTTAAAGGTCTAATTAATTTAATTACTTTACAACATCGAAGTGAGGTGTAAAGTCGCCTCCATGCTTGAGAGGAGACAGATGGAGTGTAACGGCAGGGTCTCAGTTAACTACTCTCAGCATTCCACAATTAAGGATATGTCAGTCTCCAATTTTGACATATTTAATCTTCGTTGTGGTCTCTGTGCAGTTCCACACATGGGTTGGGCGCCTGCGCACGACCTCGACCGGAGAACATTCCAGAGCTTGTCTCAGGAGTCTTTTTGGTGGGCTCTCTTCCTGCCCTGGGGAGCAGACACGCACTGCGCATGCCTGGAGCGGGGGAGAGAGCTGCCTCCCACTCAGTTCTTCATCGACCGCCTTCGTGTTCACACCTCGCTAGCATCACTCTTCAAATTGCCTCAGCTGAGTACTTCTCTCCTGGTTTTGTCTCTTATTCTTCTCATTTCTCCTTATTCCTTCTTATTCTCCTGAAAAACAAAAACAAACAAATTTTTGTTACTATTTTTTCTCACTTTCGTTTCTGTCTCTCCCCCCGCCCCAGTTGGGGAGGTGTTTGTATGGGACGCACAAAATTCTTTAAGACGTGTAGCTGTTGCCCAGCCAAACTTCCATCTGATGGCCATGATCTTTGCTTGTTTTGTCTGGGTGAGTCTCACTGGGTTGATTCCTGTCCCCACTGCGCGAACTTTACCCATCAGGCCCACAGAAATAGGGCAGCCTGACTTAGAATGTCTCTCCTCGAGGCAGCTTTGCACCCTACGATGTCTTCAGTCATGTCCCAGTCTTCTGCTCCGCAAAAACACTCCAACTGTCACGATTGTGTTGGCGGGCCAGGCAGGGCACAGGAGTCCAAAACACAGTCCGAGGTCAAGGTACCAGAGAAGACAGAGTAAAGTGAGCAAAGTCCAAAACACCAAGTCAAAACATAGCCTATGGTTACCAGAGGTTGTATTAAAGAGTTCAGAAGCCAATAGCTGCTTGTCAGAAGTCAGGGTACACAGTCAATAGGGAGCCAGAGAGAAACGTCGTGCAAACCAGAGTCAGGAGCCAGGAAGTCAGTACGAAAACCAGGAGACAGGAACGCGGGATCCGGGGTGCAGTGAGTCGTCCAAGAGACTAGTTGCCAGCATGAGTTGTGGATATGAGAGAGCCGCCTAAACAGCCCGTTCCATTTGTTTGCCAATTACCGGCCGCTAACAGGGTCCTGGCTCCGGTCAGTACTCTGGGCTTAGAGGACGTCGACCTCACATGCGTGCCTCCTTTTGCTGGGTTGCCATGTCCCATCGCCTTTGCTCTCACAAACGAGCCACCAGTGGAGGGGAATCAGGAGGTGTGGTACTTGTGCTCAGCTCTGCCGGCACGGCTCCAGGTGCAAACACTCCTGTTGACTGGTGCTCATCCTCCTCAGGACTTAGGTCCGGCGATTCAAGGGGTGCAGGGAACTCAACCTTGGAAGTTGAGGGTGCAGAATCCCCTGGGTCAGGGTCCTCGGGGTTGGGCTGCACGGCGGGCATGACACCGACAATGCGAAACCCCTAAAGCATAAGTCTAAAAAGCACGAAGACAAACAGTTGGCTAAGCCGAAATCGTAGCTCTCGATGTTGACTTCGGCTCCAAAGCTTGATCCCGTAGTGATCTCTGGTCTCTCGACATTGTCTCCAATGGTATCTTCTGTGGCCCCGCCTTCACATAAGCCTAGTCTTCAGCCTCCAGCACCAACGCCTACCTTGTCTTCACTGTCAGGACATATTCCGCCTGGTCAGCATTCAAAGTCGCCTGTCCAGGGCTCTTCATCTCATCGTGGCTCTCGGTCTCACTCCCAACACTCCCATATGCCTATTCATCTTTTGGATGACAGGGAGCATTTCATGAGAAGCCGATCCAGGTCGAGGTTTTGCTATACTCGCAGATCACACCATTACCATCACTTGCCCTCTCCATCGAGATCGGTGTTCGATTATAGATCCTGGTCTCCAGATGTCAGGCACCATAGAGTGTATTACCCTTGCTCTTACTACAGGTCTTCTACCCCTTGGCGAGATTGTTATGACCGGTTTGGACAGACTGACCGCTATGGAGGCCGGCCGACTTCATCCTATTCCAGGCGTTCCCACTTGGTAGCCTCAGTCCATTCCCTGGGGCTAGATCAGCCACCAGATGTATCAATGTTTGCAGATTCTCCAAAGCATTCTCCATTAGAACTTCAGTATCGCCCTTCCGCTGATGACCAAAGACCTATTGATGTCTCTCAACTGCTTCGATCACCTTCTCCAGTCTCGGTATCTGATCATTCTGTGTCTCGTGATCTTGACTCTGACACCCTTCCTATCAAGGATGAGACCCGTCGTTCGGGTTCCATCTCTCCCACTAAAGGCCCAAAAGCCTGTTTGGAGCTTGTTACGCGAATGGCTACGGCTCTTCAAGTGCAGGGTTCTACTGAAACTCCTGCAGTGACCAATGTCATTCATAAGTTAGTTCAAGTGAATTTGCCACCTTCAACGATTCTCCCATTACTCTCGGTCCACCTTTTGGTCCTCAAGGAGTCTTGGGACCATCCTGCCTCTGTCACTCCGATATTGAGACGTTATGATGGCCTTTATAAGGTTCAAGAATCTCCTGGAAAATTCTTGTTCAATCAGCCCCCACCGAACTTCAAGACACCTATTTTCATGTTACCATCTGCCCTCAACATTGAAAATTCCTACTAACTAACAATGCAATGGTGGTATGGGAAAAAGATATAGGGCATAAGATAGATGTCGAAAGCTGGGGTAAAACATGGAAGTCAATAGCGCTGATTAGAAGTGTTAATTACAAAGAAAATATTTACAAAATTTATAATAGGTGGTATTGGTCACCAGATAAGATAGCCAAATGTAGCCCAACACTCTCTAAGAACTGCTGGAAGTGTAGAAATAACATAGGTACATTTTATCATATGTCGTGGTGATGCGTAAAAATACAAGAGTTTTGGAGGATGGTACAGAAAACAGTTCAAGAGATAACTAGGATCGAAATAGAGCTATCCCCTGAAGTAGTACTGCTAAACATGTTACCAGAAAGTTATAGATGGAAAGATAAATACCTGATAATCTACATATTGACATCTGCAAGGATCTTGATAGCCAAATTCTGGAAACAAGAATATATACCAAAACTGGATGACCTAGTTGGTAGGTTATTAGAGACAGCAGAGATGGACAAGTTAAGCTTAATCCTTCAGGGAAAGGATGAAAAAGTATTCAGGGAAAGATGGAAGAGTCTGTTTAACTGGATCAATGTAAATGAATAAGACTCCATAAGTGTTTTTGATGAAATATGTAACATGAATGTTTGTTTTTAATATCAAAATGAAAATATATTTCTAAAAAGAAAAAAGAAAGAAAATTCCTACTCTTTGCTGTCGGAGGCAATCATTACCAATACCATGTTCTTCCATTTGGCCTCTGTACAGCCCCCAGGGTCTTTACAAAAATTATGGCAGTTGTCGCTGCCAAGCTGCACCGTCGGGGGATTGTTCTTTACCCCTATATCAACGACTGGCTTCTCATGACTCCTACAGAGACTCAACTTCTCCATGACGTTCACTCTACTCTTGCCCTTCTCTGCACCTTAGGTCTGTGTGTCAATCTGTCGAAGTCTGCACTCCAACCTGTTCAAGTTCTCCAATTCTTAGGAGCCCAATGCAGGATGCTGTCTGCCAGGGGAATCTGGTCTCCTTGAGAGAGAGTGCTCTTCACATCAACTTCCTGGAGCTTCGAGTGGTACATCTTGCCTTAAGGTCCTTCCTCCCGATCATACAAGGCAAGGTTGTCTGTGTTGCCTTAGACAACATAACGGCTGTTGTTGTTTTTTTAAGCCCCTGGAGGAGATTTTTTAAACACTACAAAAACTAGAACAGAAAAAAGGGAAAGGGAAAGCTACATATAAAGGAGAAAGAACCCACTACTAACTAAAAACCCAAGAGAGGAGATCTCCAACTAGCTTTTTATACTTCATTCAGACTTTTCATCTTTGTACTTCTTATGAACTGTGTCAATCTTTTAACCCTTTTAACCATCCCCAGTTACATTTAATTGCCCCATAACAGTGCCCCCCATTATCCCCTAGAATCAAAGTTCTCAAAGGCACAATTCAGAGTCCTTCAGCCTTTACTTCTTCTTCTCTCTCTTCCGCAGTTTGTAGGAACTTTTCGGGGCTGATGCCCCCTGCTCAGAGTCCTCAGCAGACGAACCAGTTTACAGCTCTCCACTGGACTTGTGATGTCCACTGTCCAGGACAAATCCAACACTTTCTCAGTCACTCAAGCAGGCTTTAATCCAAAAGTACAACGTTTATTCGATCCAGCTATCACCAGATAACACAACGTGTTTCTCCAAGCAAGTAGAGGACTGATAAAACCCACTCTGCTAATGGCCCATCTTTTTCATCCACAATGGTAAATCTGCTAACTTACTCAATACCTCATCCACTGTGGGAATCGTGTAATGCTGTCTACGAACTGCCCTGTTCAAATCCCTTGGGTCGAGACATATTCTCAAATTTCCATTTTTTTTCTCTGTAATGACTAGACTGCTTACCCAGTCAGTAGGCCCTT